CACGATTCCCACCTTCCCGGTGGGGTCTCCTGGGGGCAAGGGGCTAATCCCCTCGCCTAGACCAGCCCTTTGCAGGCTGCGGTGCCGGGAGATGTACAAGGGCCTTCCTTTGCCCGGGGGTGTCTCACACTGCAGGGTAAAACACAGAGCCGGGGGGGGCGGGGTGATGCCCCCCCCCCATGGCTGGCAGCTAGAAGTGAGGGGCAGAGGCAGGCTGGCCAGAGAGCCTCCCAGGGCTAGAATAGCAGGGAGGCTGCAGGGTCGGTCTGGGGGCATCAGCAAAGCTGTCTGCGGTGGGAGCCCAGGGCAGTCCTGCTGAGTAAAAGTGGGGTGCATTGCCGGAGCTGTGCCTCCAGGAAGCCCTTCGGTTGGGCAGCAGCTCAGGAGTGAGGGGCACTGGCCCCGCTGGGAATGGGGCCCAGGGCTCGTACTGCAGGGAGGGGCCGATCAGAGCCGAGCATGTGGAACGTTCTCGGGGCCTGTCGCTGCTCCCCAGGACTCTGGGGTGCTCCTCGGTCCCTCCCCCACCTCGGTCCGCGGGAACCAGAACAGCCAGCCCGAGTCCTGCTTGCCCAAGGTCCTGTCTTCTGCCAGCACCAGGTGCCCCTGGGGCAATGAAGAGAACAGGGCAGTTACTGAATGATCCAGCCCAACAGAGGCTACAGATGCCCAGAGCATGAGGTTACATCCCTGCCCACCTTGGCTAATCCCCATTGCTGGATCTGTCCCCCAGGAATGATCTGACTCCTGGTTGAACCGTCTGGCCTTCATCGTGTCCCCTGGCAAGGAGTTCCCCAGGTTGGCTGTGCACTGTGGGAAGAAATACTGTGGTTTGCTTTAAACTGGCAGCCTGTTCAGGTCACCGGGTGACCCTGGTGCCGGGGTTAGATAACACTTCTAGCCTATCCCTGCTTGGGTGTGTCTTTCCCAAGTCCATCCTGTCCGTCTCGCCTCCTACCGCAGCTGTCCCGGTCCTCTGCTCCTTTCGGTGCCCTTCTCTGTGCCTTTTCCAATGTATCTTCCCTGGGATCGGGCAACCCGAAGAGCCTGCAGGGTGTGCCGGGGTAGGTACGAGGCACGATGGTATTTTCTGTCTGATTATCTAGCCCGATCCTGACACCGGTAGCGGGTTTTGGCTGCTGCTGCGTACTGAGCGGATGTTTTCGGATGGATCCGCAGTGGCTCCAGGATGGCTTTCTGGAGCAGTATCTGCTAATTTAGGTCCTTCATTTTCCAGAACAGCAGCCCCCCACTGTGCCCCGTGCGGGAGGAATCCTTCATCCTTCTCACCGGGCTTCGCTAGTTTGCAAAGTGTCCAATTCCCTTTTAAAGCTTCAGTGATGAATCGTTCCTGGTCCCCCAATGCCCTGCCCTCCTCTGATCTGTGCTAATCGCCTCCCGGCCCTTCCCGCTCACCCCCACAAGCCGGAACCCAGAGATCCTGGCCTGCCTGTGCACCGGACTAATCCAGGCATTGACTAGGGGAGCTTGGCTGTGGCCCAGGCGAGGGTACACCATGCTGCCAGGAGTGGTGTTGCACTCGGAGTGCAGCGCTGGGGTGCTCTCTGCCAGCCACTCGCTTGGTGGTTCCCTGGCTGCATGGGGGGCCTGAGCTTTGGAAGGGATTTGTACAGCGTGATTGTTACTCTCGTTGCCAATAAAACTGTTTTCCTTCCACCTTGCCTCACTGGTGGTGTGTGGGGCTAGCCCCAGTGGCCTGTCTTAGCAGGCCCAGCCTGGTTGTGCTCAGCAGCTGGAGAGAGGGGAGCGGGTGCATGGGGGGTAGGTATCAGGGCTCCAGGCTTTGAGGCGCTCTCTGCCACTGTCATGCTGTGTGACCTTGGGTGAGTCACTAGTGATGCCAAACATTCTCAAGCATGCCCAGTGGCTGTGGGTGCCCAACTTGAGACACCTGGGGCCTGATTTTCAGAGGGTCTGATTACCCCAAATTCCTGTGGGCATCACAGGGGGGAGGGGGTCAGCCCTTTGAAAAAGCAGGTGCCGTGTGTCTCTGGTTGGGCACCCAAAATCCCTGGGCATGCTGGGAGGAATTTTGGGCCATCCCCTGTTGGACCCAGAGTGCTGGGACTTAAGGCTAGAGCTACACAGAGAAGGTGCTTAAGGAAAGCTTGTTACCATGGCTGTAAAAGTACAGGGCGGTGGGGGCAGCGGCCGATTGACAGCCATGTGGGGTGGGAAGGCCGTTAACCCCTGGGGTAGGGGGAGTTTACTTGCAGGATTCCAGGGCTTGTGGCGGTCGCTTCTCTTGGCATTGGGGGTTTAGTGCAGAAACATCCTTGCTTGGCCTCCCCTTGCACCCTCCAGCCCCATCCCTCATCCGCGTCCCTACTGGTCTGCTGGGGGCTGATACACAGTGGTACCAAGGGCCTTCCAGAGGCCCAGCGGGGGCTCATGCGGGCTGGGCAGCGGCCTGATAGCCTCAGGGCTGTTCCCTCTGCTAGCATGGCCCCTGCTCAGGCCGGGGCGTGGAGGGGTCTGCAACCCTCTCGTGCGCCGAGTGAGCCGTGCGCTAAGGCTGCCCTGGCCGGACGGGGCGGCTGCGTGTTCCCAAAGCAGGCGGCAGCGCGCCCGGGGCCAGCAGGACCAAGCGCTTTGTCTGTGAAAGACAGGCTCGGATTTCGGTCTGCCGCCTGGCCTCGGCTAGGACAC